TGAGGACGATGTTGTGATTGGTGACGTGGCGTTTAGGGGAGGTGTTTGGAAGGGTGGTGTGATGCAGGGATGTAGTTTGGTGATAGGTCATGATTGGAGTTGCAGTGCTGAGTGTGATTTGATTTGGTTGTGTGTTTTTGATACCGAAAGCTGGCGGTGGGAGAGTGGTGGGGGTTTGGAATGGGGTCTGATGCTGTGATGTTGTAGGCATCGAATGTGGAGGAGCCGAGAAGCGACGAGGGCGTTGCGGTGGGTGGTCAAAACGCTGAAGGGGTGTGGAGAGGTGCGGAGTCGAGAAATGCAGAGAGGCCGCTGTCTGAGTTGGAGGTGAAGGCGATTGTGGCGGCGGAGGAGGCACGGGCTGCAGCGGCTGCAGCTGCAGAGGTAGGTCTGAGGGTGATGCATGAAGTTGATTGTGGGTGAGGTGTTTGCAGTCGGAATGGAGAAGAGGGAAGGTGCGATGGTGGTGGTGGTGTGGGTTGTGTGCGTGGAATTGTAGGGGTAGTTGTGATGTAGGTAGATAGTGGAAAGCCAGGTGACAGGCAGGTCGGGAACGTTGAGGGCTTGTGTGAGATGGCATGCAGTAATTAGGTTGGGGTTGTGACGTTTGCAGGCGTACGCACAAGTGGAGGCTCAGCGAAAGGCTCTTCCGGAGCTGCCAAAGATCTTGTCGTTTCATAGGTTTGCAAAGCGCGAGAAGGAGGATAGTATGGACTGGAAGACGAGAAGCTGGCTGGGGATGGGTGAGAATCCTGCAGGCTCCAGCGCAGGCGCAGGTCCAGCAGGTATGGACGGAATGGTGGATGTGAGTTTCGTGGAGGGATGGCAGGGATAGGTGGAGGTGAAGACGAGGGAGGCGGAGTGTGATGGTGACATGAAAGTTGAGGCGGGGTGTGGGGTGTGGGGTGTGGGCGTGAGTTTTGAGGGCGGATGTTTTAGTTGACGCAGTCGGCGTAAGGCGTGCAGGTTGAGGTGGATAGGAGTTTGGATCGTTGAGGTTGCGGGTGGTGTTGCTTGGTGTAGATGTTTTGCAAGGAGTTAGTGGGAAGCATGGTAGTAGGTTGTGTGGTGGGGGTTGCAGGAGCGGATGTGTCGGTAATGATGGAGGATTGTTGTCGTTCAGGTTTGGAGCAGAGAGTGGCACAAGAGAACAGCTGTGTGTGGTCTGAGCAGGGGAATGGGGGTGATGGTACGGGCGGAGTGCATCAAAGTACACCAAGCGAGCAGGGCGATGGGTCGGTTTCGGGTGTGCCGGCGTCAATGGTGGCTAGTAGCGACACGAATGGGCACGCGGAGACTCAGGCGGATGGAACGGGAAGGAGCGGAGATGTTGGGAAAGCGGCGGAAGATGTTGTGTTGAGTAGCAGTTGTGCGAGAATGGAATCGTTAGGCACAGGAGAGGAGGAGGGTGGTTGTGGAACGGAGGCTGCGGCAGGTAGGGTGGAGGGCGCAAGCACAGCGTGTCCAGATGTGGGTGGTGCGGAGGCAAGTGCGGCCCCTGCAGAGAAGCGGGGAGGGGCGGACGCAATCAAGAAGGCGGTGTCAGACTACGTGGTTCAGCTGTTGACCCCTCTGTATAAGACGAGGAGGATACAGAAGGAAGACTTCAAGGCCATAGTGAAGAAGTCGACTGCGAAGGTGAGAAGGTGGTGGGTAGTGTGGGGGGAAGGCAACGAAGGTGTGATGGGAAGTGTACGGAGAGGGAGTGGATATGGGAGGAGCGAACGAGTGTGTGAAGTTGTATTGGTGAAGTTGTATTGTGCAGTATTGGTGGAGTTAGTGATGGGATAGGAATGAGTGTGAACGAGGAGTTGAGCGTGACTGAGCGGTGGGTGGTGTGCAGGTGATGGACCGGAACACTGCAAGGGACAACAGCATGGACGTCTCTGAGTTTTTGAACATGAAGCGGAAAGTGAAGGTGTGGTGATGAATGGTCTTTATTTTTTAGGTTTTTGGTAGTGTCTGTTGCATGTCAAGGGTTTTCTCGAGAATTTGAATTTGAATTGGATTGTCGGTTGGATTATCTGGACGTTCCTGACAACATTGTGAGCGGGTGCGATATGTTATCTGGAGTCTGAGGAAGTTTGGTGATTGTTGTGTTGCAGATACGATCTTTGGTGGATATGTTCATAGAGAAGTATCTCAAAGGTGAAACACATTGACGTTGTAATATTGGTGCGAGAGTCCGCATATTTAAGGATCAGATTATGTTGCGCAGATTTTTTTATGAGAGACTGGGAGTTTTAGTATTTGAGCAAGAGCATTCTTCAATCACATTACTTGTGATATTTATTGTTTGTAGTGGTTTTATTCAAATTTGTTACGAGTTACCAGTATGAATTGTCATGGCACCAGGTACGGAAATGTACAAACATGGTTTAATCACTTCTGCACTTCTCTGTCCACGGGAAAATGAATTAAATTTTCTGTAAAATGAAGAGCTCAATTCTCAGGTTGCAACTGTCACGATTCGGACTGTGTATGCTATAGATAGTCTTACTCAAATGAAAATCCCTATGCTAATGTTTCACATGCCAGGACCGCCACCTAGGCCAGGTGGCATTCCTAGGCTCTCCGCTAAAGTCTTCATACGCTCCTTCATGGCCTGTACATTTTTTTAAGGGGCAGTCAAATTAAATGGATTATCACACGTCAAATCCCTCTATTACATCTGGAATTGCAACAAACAGTATGGTAAAAACAGGAAGATACCTTTGAGTTTTGATCAACGTATCAAACAGTCTCGAGGCTTGCTTCTAGTTATAAGTGAACATTACTATGAAACCATGCCTAGTTCTAATGACATTTAACAGCATGAAATGATACTCTCAATTGTGGGAGATATATTAGAGGAGAGCTTCCGTACCGCAACACTTTTCGTGTGAGCATCCTTGTATGCTTGGTTCACCAACTCAGAGAGAACCTGCATATACAAAGAGTCACAGTTTCATCCTTTCTGACATGGTAAAAAACGAAGTGAACAACTAAGCATCTGTTTTGAAATCATATATGATGACAAATTGCTACATTTAAGATGCTACTCACATCAGCGCCCCTTTCCAAGGCGGCTTCGGTAATCTCAACCCGAACAGGTTCTTGGTTGCCTGATAAGGTCACTCTCACAAGCTCGTCGTCACAGTAACCGTCGAACTCCGCACTGCGTGTATGAAGGGTTTTCACGACTCAGCTACTAGATCAACGTTCTTCGCTTATACCCTAAATGAAATCGCAATGCAAAGCCAAACCAGTCGTATATAAAACAACATGATCATGATATCCTTGAACTTAGTTAGCATTTCAGGCCTACCATGTGACAGTATCAATAACACACAGGAACAGCAGCGTTTAAGAACGTACGCAGCAAGCTCTTTCTGGACGCGGACAGCCTCGACTTGAACTACCTGTTGGGCTTTCCTCACTGTGTCATATAGACCCTGCATGTTCCCAAGCATGTTTCCTAACCCTTGCTGCAGCACAAAGTAAAGAGAATGTGACAGGTTCATGTTAGTAACGACCCGAACAAGGTGATGCACTTAGTGATTTCAGAAGCTTTGTTTATGTCGTCTAAGTGCAGAGACCTCAGAAGAAGCAGAAATATTGGAGATTGATGTGAAAGCTTACACATTCATTTCATCACATTACCTATCAGCAAGCCCTAGGAGCCATAATGGCACAGCGCAACAGGACATCAAACTACATATATAAAAGAAGATCAACCTCAGCACTTGCAGGACGAATCAAGTTGAAGAAGTCTTCTTAATCCAGATCAATGACATATTATTGTAACAACCGCGTGAAGATGAATGCATTGCGTGCGAAATTCACCTTCTTGGCGGCATCGTCTGGGTTCTCCTCTTTTTTCCCACCCCACAAGCTGGTAACGTTCAGAGAGCGCTGATTAAAGCAGAATGACCGATGTGTTCTCTTTAAAAATACATTTGAAACCCTATAACCTGTACAGAACATCAAGACGTTAATTCATAATCTTATTCAAACAAAACCTCAAAGTAATTGATCCATACATTATCGAACAAGCCGAATAAGATGTGACCACCCAATGTGCAGGACCTGCTCATTGCAAGAGAAAAACACAGAAAAAGAGCCTCTTTTACGATTCTCAATCCACCAGTGAACTTTTAGTCCAAAAAGTAGATTTCTTTGCTAACAAAGCAGGAACTTATTCTATGATTCTCTCTGCCACAGTTCAACATAACACATTTTTAAAGAGAATACACCAATTTGAGTTCACTTGAACCCCGCACTAGATGAGATTGAAGATTCCCAGCGTTCTTGACATAGAAGTACTAATTCAATTAAAGGTGAAATTGGGAAATAGTCTAGTTGCAGCTTAATACATGGCCACCAATCGAAATTACTACTACGGCACTCACAAACTTGACACAAATGCAGACACTAAGAGTGAATATTTAAACAAACGAGTCTCTAAGAAGGTCAAATAGGAGAGAGAAAATTATAATGACCCTCACTAAAACTCGGAGGTGCTCGAGAAACGGGGATGCACAGAAGCAAAACAAAAGGAGTGAAAGGAAGAGTTCGAATTTCTAGGGCTCCCCAAACCCCAAGCTGTACAGGCACTAATCAGGGCTTCAACCTCAAAAATACATTCAGAAGCTAAATTCGAGACTTCTAATTCACCAAACAGAGGTTTCAGAATCGAAGGTAACCTAATTGCAGTTCAAAACGACAAGCACAGAATCTCTTGAGTAACAAAAGAAATCACAATTCAGCCAGCCAGAAAATAACACAACAAATCCTTTCAATCTACACACAACCTACACAACCTCGTCAGCGCAAATGCTCACATTAGCCCTGGAAAACCCAAAATCCTGTTCCACACTCTACTCTCCAACTCCATATCCACAAACACACAACCTCGTCCTCATCCTGGTCCTACACTTCCTCGAAAAAGTCCAAATCCACTGACCACAGATTCACCTCAAAAACCCCAACTCAGAATCCTCCAGTGCGAATCCCCTGGACACTTACCGAAGGGGGATGAGGAAGATGAAGCACCAGCGGGGTTGAGCTGTGGGAAGACAGACACTCCAGTAGCAGCCCCGGATACACACGCCATCGCTTGCTGGGAGGTATTTAATTCAAACCCCACTCTGATTCCAGCTAGCCCAGCTGCAAAAACCTCCCCTCGCGTCGCGTCACGTCACGGCGCTTGTCGACGATGGAAGGGGGAAGTGGGGGAGGGGCGGATGCGCGAGGAGGGACACGAAGGGAAGGGAAGGAAGGAAGGCTGTGATGCACTGGGCCAGCCCCGGAGATACAAGGGTCGGGGATAAGGGCATACAAAACCGCGTCTCTCAACGCCGCTTTCCCCCGGGGTCCGATTCCTCCCCCCCCAATGGCCGCGGGCTGCTCCTCCGAGAGGCCTTCCACTGCTACCCCACTGGAGGAATCTTTAAGTAAATATATATATATATATATATATATATAGAGAGAGAGAGAGAGAGAGAGAGACAAACATCAAATTTGAGCATCTTGTTTAATTAATGTGAAATAAGTAGAAGATTTTTTTTTTCTTTTTAAGTAAAAAAAGTCCTATCTATGATTTGTAATAAATCTGTTCCCACTTTTACACATTGAGACACATAAATTAACAAAAAAAAAACAAAAAAACAAAAAAACAAAAACAAATTGGAATATAAGTTGTATGTGAAAGAAGACTTCTGAGAAAAATAATGTTAATCTAGGTTTTAATTAAAGACTACTGAATTTCAATAGAAAGTAGATGCTGTATTCCAAAACTGATTTGCTGTTAAATATCCAAAAATATTAATAATTAATATAATTTATTAATTAAGTCAATAAAACTTATCTTTTAAATTTACGTTTAAGAAAAAAAAATCATAATAGCACTTAGAATTAAGAATTATCTTTACGAAAAAAATAGTGTAGTATTGGAAATAAGCACCATGCATTGATTGATAATACTTTGCTAAATGACTTCTGAATACAATTATTTTGGATGCAATCAAGTCAACATAGTTACTAAAAACATTACAAGAGAAATAAAATTAAAAAATCCATTATTAAATTTGATCGTTTTAAAATTCTAAAGATGTTTTTATGAATGTTGAGAACGATAATAAGATATTCTACTAATATCATGAAGTTTACAACAACCAAAATTGTCTGTTGGTGTTAAGGTGGAGGTGCTACTCTACAAATTGGCCTATCATTTTCTGATGACAACGAATATGTGTAATACAAAGCACATATCCTCTTCATAAACTCAAGCTTCCCACCTCACTTGTACCAGGCATGATAATCATGTATTATTTTACTATAGTCTTCAACACATCTTGTTGTAGAATGAAAGCTAATGAGGATGTGCTAAAACGTGCGTCTCGGAGCTTAGAAATGGATCGAGTCTAAAGTCGAATCCTGAGCTATTTTTCTTTACAAACCGACCCTGCAGTTCAAAGAGGGAAAACCACATTCAAATTCACGATCGATACCGGGAGGAAGTTTTTTGATCCCGACGCAGACATAATCGCAAAATCGTAACGAACTTCGTAACAATTACCTTCTACAGATTAAACTTGCGGTGAAGCACACATTTGAACCTACACAATCGATCGGTTTCTTCCGGCTCTAATGAATCGGAGATACTGGTGGAGGACTGACCTTCATTCGAGGTCGCTTTTCGGCGTTGAGCTTCCTAACTTCATATCTGATTCTCTTCGAAAAGAGTCTGCTCCGCCTTTTCTCTTTGAATCTCATCACACTAGCCTCGCGGCTTCCTTGGCAATCATCAGCGCCTTCCTGCGCCATGTCAGGCACTAGTCCAGCGTCCTGAAGAGGGCAAGGATCAGAGGATTTCAATCACATTGCTCGCTAGTGTTTCTATGAAGCCACTTCTGTTAACAAACCCCCGAGCAATTGTTGAGAATCTGCTTGAACGGATTTCCCTAATATACCTACCGTGGCATCCGAGGTACAATCATGGGGATAGAACCAAGGCTCGCCTCTATCGGACCAAGCGGTAATGACGTCTTCATAATTCAATCGCAGCGTGGGAGCTAGGCCTAAGTTTACTTCACTTAGACCTTCCCGGCAGCACAGCAAAATCTCCTTGGCTTCTTTCTTGATGTTCTCAGGAGTCAAATGCATCTTCTTCTCATTCCTCGGAATTTTCGAAAAAAACTTAACGAAAGGACCAGTGCGAAATTGGTCGTTTTCTGCTCCGACTAGATTATATTTGGAGGAAATACCTGTAAAACGAAGAAGACTATGTCTCTATGTTACGAGGATCGCTGAATACCGCATCAGAAAACCGAAATGTAAAGTTCAGCCACACTGCTCAAAAGTCGTCAGGATGCTGCTGAAAAACTTACCTCCCATTTCAGAGGTATCCGCGCCAACTCCTTCAAAGGCCCTCGGTAAGGTATCATGAAAAGCAAAGTCAAAACTCAAACTATCGCCGACAAATTCTCGTGAGCCAAAATCCTCAAACCCGCTGAGTCCGGGAATATCATTAGAAATGAAACATGCATCTCCGGCAACGCTAATGTTGCCATCCATGTCGCAGCAAATGTTGATTCCGTCGTCAAATGCATCAGGTAAAAAGAACTGGTCTGATGTGTCATCGTCAGGGAAGCAATCTTCTTGGGCAGCTTTCCCTTTGAAGAACGCGGCTAAAGAGTCCGACCATGGAGAGCTTCTAACCTCTTGAGAGTCACTGCGCAACTCCTGGAAGAAGTCTGAACAAACATCCAACTCCGAGCTCGATGGCGAGGAATCCTGCATCACCACGATAAGTGATGGCACTTTTTGGGTAACATCAACCAGGAAATTCTCGGTTTCAAAAGTCTCTGAAAACATCAAGAGGTCTTCCTTCATCTTCGCATCTCCCTCCTCCAGCTGGTTGGGAGCATGTTTGGCTCCAGGAGAGTGCTTGGCTTGACGAAAAGGATGAAGCCTACAGGTCCTAAATCGCTTTCTGGATGGCAACACGTTCACTGGAGGTGCTTGCAGCTTCTTAGACATGGTTGGTTTTCGTAACAGTATTTCTTTCGCATTCTTGGTGTCAGGAGAGTCTTTTCGAGCTAATATGGTTGACTCTGCGTTCGGAGTGAGTGGAACTCGCTCATGTCGCTGGGCGAGAGCATTAGCAGAATGCACTTGTATGTCGCACTTCTCGCAAAGATATGCTCTATCAGCGCCGCAGTACCAACGTGCACTCTTGTTCATGCATACGTCGCAGGCCCGCGACGCTTGTCCTGCTATCGCCATCGCAGTGACTATCGACTTGCAGGCTGTCCTGGTTGTCATCTCTACAGTAAATCTTTACCTAACTGTTCTCTTATCAAAATCCGAGTGTTTTTCGCCCACAAATGGAACTCAGCTGTCGAAATCTTCCCATGATCACGAAGTTAATAAGATTTACAAGCTTAGCACATTCAGCAAAAAGTCTCTAAAGCCAGCCATGTTCAAAATTGCAGCAATCGTGCTATTCCAAACGGCAGTTCTGGATCACTTCAGTGCTACTGATTCGCGGCTCTTATTGACGCAGGTCCTCACTTCAAAAGTAAAACAAACTATAAGTAATGCTCTAGAATTCAATTACATAAATTTTGAAAAATAAATTCACAGCAATCCTTCCGAAATGGTGACTGTAGACAAATCATCATAGTTCGTTCAATCACGACCTGTTTCATATTTCTTCAGACGACGGAATAGGGATACAACTGACGACACAATTACCCTGATTCCCGTCAACCTCGATAAAGCTACATCACCACAAAAACAATATTTTTAAAAATAAAAATAAAAACAAAAAATAAAAAACCGAGGAGAAAAAAGAGAAAGTAGAAAGCCAACGGAGAAACACACCTTTGTCGATGCTGAAGATGACTGCTAAATTTCAACGAATTCGACGATCGAGGACACACTGGTGACACATTTGGTACATCTCACTTGGCAAAACACACAACCACATTAGAACTCAACCCTGCGATGGACACACTACACAACAATAGAACGATTCTTCAATGTAGGAGAAAAACGGAGCAGTGACTCTCAAGTACGAGCTCTGAGCATTGGCACAAGCCTGGCCCTGGCAGCTCTCAACTGGATACTTGCAGCTACTCATTCCGCGACAACTCGGTGGAATTCTGCAACTCCTGTGGCATTCTCGGAAGGCGCTACAGGCCTGGTTCAGACGGGGAAGCGCTGCTGCGCCTGGCCTAAATTTTGCTCAGCCCTGTCTCACGAACTGCAGAGGGGGTGGAATTGAGTTTTGGCCATTATTGGCGGTGTATTGATTTGTTTCGGTGGCAGTGGGAGCAATCATCTGTCTTCTTTACTCATCTATTGAAGTTAGGCGCTCCGAGAAAAAGATTGACAGCATTCCGTTCCGCAAAACGGGAGTCGAGTCTAATCCCCATTTTTATTTCCATTTTGTTTTTTTTGCACGGGAGGGGTTTATCCGGTTTCGGATAGCGAATAAATATCCCTCTGCTATAGTGCTCTGTGCCATGAAATTAACAAACATTCCTTGAGCAGTCCCCTTTGTACATTCCGTGTCTTCTCCAGAGACCATTATATAATACTTTTTACAATAAAATGAGATGTTGATGTCATTCTGAAGCGGATTCTCAAACCAGGGACAACAATTAAAAGGAAAATGCTCAGCAGGACTAATAATCATGGGATGTATGGCTATACACAACTCACATTTACAGGGGAATGAGACTTGCAGGGTGTATTAATAAGTGGGAGTATGATGGCACAATCTGACCTATGGATAAGCTACTATTCCCTGGCAGAGGTAATAATTTGGGCTTGTTTGGGCTATCAGAGTTGGTTTCAGAAAGGGGAATTATATGCCTGTCGGCTCCATACAGGCACACCCATCCTTACTTACTTTTTTTTCTTTACTATATGTTATTTTTTACTTCACTTACTTGGGCATTAGTGCCAATGAGAGTGAAAGAACTAACTATGAAGAGCCTCAGTTCCGGGGAGAGGATTGTGGATGGGACACTCTCTAGCAATTAGGTCACCATTCCACATCACCGCCTGCTTGTAAGGTAAATTTCAAACTTTGGCTTATCTTATTCCTCCCATCCCACCTGACAATATTACTCCATGGTTATGATTTTCATACAAGTACCCAATATTAATAAACAAATGACCTAGGAGATTTTTTTAAGAAATTAAATCATAATAATTTTTGTATAGACTTATTCTATTTTTGAAATCTGTCCATGTTACCCTAGCAATTAGAATATATGTCTATTATGCTTATGGAGTCTTCAAACATTATTGTTGTTTGAGTTTCAAGGATTATTTTTAAATTATTTTTTATTATTTATTATTTTTTTTGGTGTTGGTTATGAGTTTTCAACAAAGGCTTAGAAGGCTACCTTGATTACAACTGAACACTTCCTTTTATTTTCTACCTCATTCTTTAAATTATTTAATTGGTATAAAATGATAATATTTGTGATTTTTTATTCTATTTGAATAATTAAGTCCACCAACTTTAAAAAATAAAATAATAAAATAATAAAATATTTATTAGATGATACATGAGGTGATTTTTCTAAGGATTGGATCATATGTTGTAGAATTTATTAATGAAATTAATTTAGTAGATTAAATGTGTTTAGTTTATTAGATCTTTAGTTAAAAGAAGTATGACAATTTAAAATCCTTTATTTATTGAAATTTCTTTCTAAAAACTGTGATTTTAAATAAACATTAAAAATATCATATTGTGTCCTAAATAATATTCAGAAGGAGTGATTGATTGTAGAAAGAAATCATTTTAATCTTACACCCTTTTGTTAGTGTAGTATTTCTTTGTATTTTTTATTTTAAATATTATATTTTTAACAAGATATTTTAAGTTCTTTTTGTCTATCAATTTATTAAATTATTATTTTAAATATTTTTTAAAACATTTACAAAAAAAATCAAATGATATTTATTATAAAATTATATATAAAAGGTTATTTTAAAATACTTAAGATAAATTTAATATCCAATATAAATTTTAATTAATCTTAATATTTTTATCTTTGATAATAATTAAATTTTATACTTATTTGTGTTAGAAAATCATGATTTTTTATATGAAAACTTATTTGATTTAAATTATATGGTTTCTATATTTCATAATTAAAACTCAAATAATCTAAAAAATCTAAAAAACTACAGCAAAGAAATATTATCAATAAAATATTAAAATTTGAATTTCTTTACATTCTAAGAAGAAAGTTAAAACTATTAAGTATTTGTTTAGAGTTTCTAAAACTTTAATTAACTTATATGTAAAAACTAGTATTTAATTAGAAAAATATTTTAAAGATCTTAAAAGATTTTAATGCTAAATTAATAAAAATAGAAATTAATATTTTATATTATATTTTAAATAAATCTAATAAATCTAAAATTAATTAAAATATATACAATTAAATTCTATTTTTTTATATTTTTTAATATTATTAGATTACATATTTATGTTATCTTGGAATATAAACTAAAAAACAACAAAATTCATAAATTTTTATATTAAAGTAGATATATGTGTTTTATTACAAAATACATTTGGCCATATGATTTTAATTTATGCCAAAATAAACCTAAAATAATTAGATTGGAGGAAGATCTATTAACATTAAATATTACTAAGCTATTACATGCATTGGTTGTTACATTTAAAGAAATAGTTTTATGGATAACATCTTTAAAAGACAACAAACAACCATTTATGACTTTTACATGTACATACTTAATTTTCTTAACTAAAGACATTTCATGTTTTTTAACAAAGTTTGTATTTATGAAATAAGGTGAGGCTCTTGAATCTAATAAGGTAGATGCTTTGTACTTTTTTGGTCCTAAACAAGCATCTATTATAAAGCAAGGTGATAGATCTGAGATAAGAATAGGACCTTTATTGCTTAAGTTTCTAGTTGCATGGTCCCTATTATAACTAAAGAAATTTATTTTTTAACACATTGTCCTCTTTGGTAACCATGCTCTTTATTTTGTAATTACATTGTTTTTTTAGATAATATTGAACAATGTGCTTAGATGCTCTATAATATAAGCACAATCCTTTTTAATGGCATCAAGTCTTTTCTTATTTACTAAAGAATTTGAAACATATCGTATCAATTTACATATGTTCCAACCTTAATAAAAAGTTTTTAAAAACTTAGGAATTGTTGTCATGACTTGTAACTTTTCAACCAAATCTTTTTTTTTGGTATCTTTTAAAAATTTAATTGTTGTATGAAATGGCTTAAGCAATAAATTATTCTAATGAATTTTCTTTCAACATTATCAACAATAAGTCTTTGAAATTATCCTTTAATTCATATCAAAATTAATTTATATGATTTTTGTCATTCTAATTGACATTGCAAGCACGATTTTAGAATTTAATAGTATATTTGATGATTGAATATGATCTTTGTTGTAAAGATATAAATTTGGTCTATGCTATCTTTTTTTAATTACTTTCTCTAAAACAAGAACTATATGTTAGCACTTTTATCAAACTATCAAGAATATGAATCATAAAAATCAAAAAATCAATTCACTCTTGTGTCAATAGAAAAGAGTGAATAATCACTCAAAGATGGTATAATATAACATTAAAATGGCTATTACCAATAGCAAGAAGTCTAGAGGCTCTTGAGACAAGATTAAAGACTAAAAAGACATTAAGAAGAGTGAAGAAAGCTTCACTCTTACCTCCATATCTATATATATATATATATATATATATATATATATATATATTATCTAATTAGGAACTAAATGTCAACGTCCTATGCAATCTCCAACACGTGTCCAACTTGCAAGACATATGTTTAATTTATAAAATAAGTTTCTTTCATGTATACCACGTGGTTAGCTTATACTATAAGCTACAAGTATACGTAATATGTGGCTAACTTGTTGGCCAAGTTTCTAACCTATCAATCAATTATAAATATGTATAAAGTCAAATCCATGTCAATATAACTTCTATGAAGCTTCACCATAATATATTATTAAATTTATATATATTTATTTTTTATCTAATATTTTTTATTTAAGTCATTCATGTATATTTGTCATATAGTCTTTATGCCATGGTATGAAATACCATCAATGGCTTAGAGGATCTATCAACTACTTTTAAAGAAAACAAAGATCAAAGTATGTAGCAAATATAATTTGACACATCTTAAACTTCTTCAATATGTGATTACTATCCTTTATAGAATTCATCTTTAGAAGAGGGAATAGTATCAAAGACATCCATATTTACTTCAATAATTACCTAAATAATATGAATAAATAGAAGTACATAAAAATAAATAAATTTGATAATATCTTACAGAGGAGTTTTTCAGAAGCTTTATAGATGCAGCTTTGCTTTTATACATGTCTATATGTGATTGGTAGGTTAAAAACTTAGATATTAAGTTGGCTACTTGTCACATATATTAGTGACTTGTGATACAAGTTGGACATATTGTATACATATAAAAAGCTTATTTTGCAAGTTAGACATATATTTTGCAAGTTAGACAAGTGTTAGAGGTCTTATAAAACTTTGCCATGTAGTTCTTAGTTATATAGTATATATATGCATATAATAATGAGGTCTACTTGAGTCTTATCAATCTTTTTTTTTTTATTCTAGTTTAATTTCAAGGATCTCTACTTTTCTTGTCTTTTGATAATATCCATTTTAATTTCTTTCTGAATATACATATTTACTTATTTCTTTTTTATCATCTTTTTTTAAAAAATATTTCACTTGTTTATTCACATTCATCAAGTTTTTAACTTTGACAAAGGGACATAAATCACAAACATTTAAAACTTCAATACATTCTTATTTTTTTTTAAATAGAGTAGATTTTTATTCAAAAATAGTATAGTATCAAAATTAAAATAATTATTTATAAAGATGAGAAGATTAAAGACTCTTGAAATGAGACTAAAAATAAAAAATAAATTAATAAGAGTGAAGAAAGATTCATTTTTATCTATATATACTATCTAATTAGGAGTTACATTGTTGGAGGTAAATGAGTTTTCTTGATGAAAATATAGGGTTTTTGGTTGCAACTAGATATGATCAAACATTGCCTTTTATTCAAATAAATTCCACTACCTCATATGAATATGGTGGCTTTCAATAGTATGTAATAGCTAATATTCCTTTTTTCATTCAAATAAATACCATATTTCTATACTTCATTAGATTTTAGCATGTAAT